CAGGTGCGCGGTACAAGAACTTTTCAAACTTCTGTACACAGCAACACAAATCATTTTTCTTCTGTAACATTCTGATTCTAATTATTACGGCCATTATTTAGGAAACATAGGGATTCATTCCTGGAAAACACATAGATTTCTGCATCCATCTCAGCACTGGATATCCAACGGCCTTCTTTCCCCATTACGTCGGCATTGTTTTACACCAAATGTGGCCCTACCACCAACGGTACAAAGGAGTACTAATAGAGGGAGAGTATTTCAGTCACTCTGGGAGGTTGGCTTGTTTGGTGAAATTTTTTAAAATTTTTATTTATTTTTTATTATTTATGAATGATAAATTTAAATTTTTATTAAAAAAAGTTTAAAAAGTTATGATATGACTCGTATAAAGATTGAGATCATTAAGAATATATTTGGTGAAATTTTTTAAAATTTTTATTTATTTTTTATTATTTATGAATGATAAATTTAAATTTTTATTAAAAAAAGTTTAAAAAGTTATTTTTAAAAATAAAACAAAGTAAGTAAGATTTAAGTAAAAAAAAGATTTATGAAAAATAAATATTTGAAACTTTTTAAAATTTACTGTTTAAAATCTTTTTAAGATTAAAAAAAATTAAAAATATAAAATTTTAAGATGAAAATTTAAATTTATGAAATATAAATAATATTAAAAAATTGAAAATCTTACAAATTTCAGCAAATATGTTTTTAACCTTGTTGATTGTCTTCTTGTTTTATTTTTAATGATTTCACTCAAGACAACCTTGCCCTGCGTGCCTCTTGCTTGCTCCCTACCGAGAATGGGTGAAATTATTAGCTTCGAATAATAGTAAGAAGATGTCCAATGTGATTCAATTGGTTAAACATTCAAGGGCTTTATTTAAAAATTTCTAAGTTTAAACTTTTTAAGTTTGGGGAGATGGATTCGGAAAAAAAAAAGTAAGGATTGTGCTTTTTTTATTTTATAGTTCATTAGTAAATAAGATTTTTATCATTTATGTTCTTATTATAAAAAAATTATTAATAAAAATTTAGTTGAATTAGTATTTATTAATTTTGAAATTTTAATTTATAATTAATATTACAAATTTAAATTTTTATATTACTAAATAATTAACTTTTTAA